CACACAACCAAGACAATGTATTTCAGGAATAATGCAGTTAAGTGCGTGATAACCAAAATTCTGGACAAGTTGAAACTAATTTTCAATACCCGGCCATCACAAGGCCAGAAAAGTAAAAATAATCAATTACTGGTCACAATTCCGGCTATATAATAACACGCACCACTGAGTTCATCCATATCCATGCATGGTCACTATTCTCACTATGTTCTCTCCTTCGTTTCTGTCTTTGAGTACGCAACTATTCCGCGGATTTCCCAGATTCCGGTGTCCGAAAGCCATGGTGCTAGTTTATTGGCTGACCGCTCAAGGGTGGTGCTACGAGGCTACGAGCAAAGGAAAACGGGTGCGACCTCCAACGGCGGCTGATTCAACTTTCCGATTACGGCTGATGTAGCGATGTAGCAATTTTCTTCTTCTTTTCTTTGTTCATGGAATGATCCGTTTCCGCCTTCCTAGCTTCTCGTTCCAGCTCCTTGATTTTCTTACGTTAACAAAAGCGAGCGGTTGTTGGTCCATTCGAAATCCTGGTATACTCCATTATTTTAATATTTTGAATCTATCCACCTATACTCTTATAGTTTTTCTTATCATTTCTAGACTCTTCTTTATTATACAGTATATTTTTGTATTTTAGTTTCTCATTATACTTCTTCTTGAGTCTAATCATGTTGAAAATCTGCTTTTCGCAGATTCGTACTTGTTTCACTGTCAACTGAGTAGCAATCCAGCTCTTGCGTACATAGAATAACTTAGAAACTGCCATTGTACTACAGAATTTTATATAGTCATTTATTATACAAACGCCATTCCTATCCCTATTTCATACATTAACACAGCACATACGTATATTAAGCATGAAAATGTAGGTAAATAAATACGCAAGCCGGAATGCCTGGAACGTCACTATTTGCTAATGGGGGAATACTTATTTTTTTCAGAGTTTCTCAGTTAACTGCCATAGAGAGTTTTTAGTATTTAAGCTATTGATATAGGAATTGTTTTGTTCTTGTTTATATCTCTTAAGAACCCTTTTACAAATATTATTTGACATATGTAGTTCTTTTTTTAAAGATGGAATTATTAGGGAATTCCAAAGTCTTCTTGTTTCATTTTTTATTCGGATTAACTTAATTATATTAGTTGGGAGCGGTTTGTGGATTATTTTGTTAGATCTAAGATTTTTTCAATGACTGTTGTTACTATTACTAATTATTATATTGTTGAGGGTCATGGATTATTTCTTAGGGAGAGTTCAGGTTGTGAAATGGAGATATGGATTTATTTATAGAACCTTTAAAGTACTTTCAATTAATGTTATAAGTAATTAAGGTGATTGGGCAGTTGGGGAGGCTTTTCTACGCGAGTTGATGTTATTACTGGTAAGTGGTCTGATTCTAGTTCATTGTACGTTGTAGAAATGAATTGAGTTTTAATATTTGTGAGTGCTATGTAAAGTATGTTTTGACTTTTGTTTTGGTGATCAAAAAATTCTAGCAAAAAATCTACAGATGTGCCTGACTGTTGACCGAGAGGTCACGTGATCGCGTAAAAGAGGAAATATAACTGTTTGAATAATCAGACGAATTCAACGGAGAAACGGCCTCTGACTGAGGCATCCGCTGAAAGTAGGCTGCCGTTTAACTTTTTTACACTATGTGTGTTTGAGGTCGGTAAATGTAGCATAGCAAAGTTTTCAAAAACATTGATATTAAACTCAAAATTTGTCGCTTATTTGTTGCTAATTTGTTACGTTAAAAAACGAATTTATCGCTCATATTTGACCCTGTCATTAAACCTTCGACTAAATTGACATTAAGTTAGCACCGCCATGATAAGAAAATCAAGAAATTACATAGACTATTTCACCCATGAAATTAAAACCAATCGTGTTTAACTATACATACAAAATACCCCAATCAGGGCTATGTATTTCAAAAAGTTTATTGATTTTTTATCCGATTTTTCATAACGCTTCTATACCAATTATATGTCGATCGCTATGTCGATGCCCTACAAACAGCGTATGCACTATAACATAACCTTTGATTTTAACATACGCTTTCAGTTATTTTCAATATTTGGAGCATTTGGGAACTCTGCTGGTCATAATTTCACTCGTGGAATAATGCTATTAAATACCACTCGTTCTGTGGAAATTCTAAGATAAATCCCCTCCTCGCGGGAATTTATCGACAATTTCCAAAGAACTCGTATTATCTACGATAAATAAAAATAATGAAATGGAAATTTTTCTGCTCAATCGATCCCCCAAAATAAATTTTGTTACTCTTTAAACATTAAACCATAAATGTGTGCTTGGCGATCTACAGAGCGGCGGGGAGGAGCTGGTGAAGCGCTTCCCGTCGGGCAGGCTGTCCCCGCACGCCAGGGGCCCCCGCGACCCCAGCAACCGGTACCCGGCGCAACGCCCGGTGAGCACACAGGTTGCGTTGCCGCTGTAGCGTCCCTCATAGTGATGGCGCTGTAGCGGGCGGTCTTCGACACTGGCTGCAGAGCAAGGTCGAATTCTAACTATCGGTTGCACTTATTAACAGTTCTTCGTGTTTTCTTCGATGAATACCATGCGAATCTCGGAGCAGTTCTCTAGCAATCGCGCCAAGGACCGCGTGCGATCTTTCACTTCATATCAACTTTGTCCCCTCTCCTTCTATTAATCACTTACAAGCATTACACTACCACATTTGTCGAGAGACCAGGGGGAGCTTGGAGCTTAAGCAAGTTGGAAAAGCTGGGATTGTGCCCCGCTCGGGGGGGAGGGATTCCTCGAGGAGGGGGGGACTCCTCAAGGTTACCTCGCTGGATCCAACGCACACCGTCACCTTCCAGCCATAACATGCGCTACACTCACAGAATTTGTATTGTAAGTCGTTGGCGTGTCCGGAAACCCTAACTCAATCACTCACACTGCTTCTATCTTGCGCGCCAGTGTTTGGAGACAAATCTTAAAGGAATTGCACGTGTATGGAATTCGTGACAATTTTACGTGACAGGTACTTTCCGTTTTAACCGGACACAAACGATTGCCTCAATGGATAAAACTGCCAGAAAACTAACGCTTCTAACTTTTTCGGTTCATGGCAGCTTCTTTCCTTTAAAATCCTTTTTATAAAATAACATTTAAATCCATTTTTACTTTCAGAAGCATTTATTAAAATTTCAAAAGCGAATAAAGGAAGAACAAAAACGAAAACATACTGTAGATAATGGGTACTAGTAATAAACTTGTAAAAATCGATATTTTCGAGGTTATTGAAAATATTTGTTTCTACCCTATAGAAAAATGAATTTGTTGCTGTTGTTGACAAAAAAGAGCGGAGCAAGACGAATGCAATTATCTGAGATTCAGTTAACTGAGACTCCGTGTTGACCACGGCAGTTACCAAACAAAATAATAAAATAACCCACTGAAACACGAACAAACGCACTTAAAAACAACGTAGTAAGACATGTGCTCTAGGCACTTTATCGATTTTAGAAATATCGTGACTTCTCTTAATTCAATAATCATCGGATTCCCTTCGTCAAATTCTGAATTTCCCGCTTTTCACTTTACTTTGGTCAGTTGTCTCTAAATAGTTACAGAACATGTATTTAATTATTCATATGTAATTAATTAATTAAGAGTTGCAAATGAAAATTAAAAGTTACTTGAGATTAAATCAAAAATCACAATTCACCTCTTTTTTGCGATATGCAAGTGAGCGTTGCTGAGTGGGCGTGGTTGGTGCTTGCAGGTGTCCGGTCAAAGAGCTCAGCCTTCGCGAGTAGGCGCGAGCCCCCGCCCCGGCCGCAGAAAGTCCCAGCGAGCAGCGTACTGCTTGGCCCGTAGTTGCAAGGAGCCAGGAAGGGCGTACGGGGTGGGTCCAGCCTCACAAATACTTCTGGGAGGCCACTCATTAAGTCGTTTATACCGCCGATCAGAGCAGGAGTTACCTATAAACAAAATAATTAGTTGAATTGGGACTCGCGGCCTAGAAAAACTGATAAAATATTTTAAAAAATGCCTTGAAATTTACCACAAAATATAGGTTCATTTCTGTAAGAAATTAATTAATTAATTTTCTTTTGTACATATACAAAACGTTATTCTTATATACTTAGTGTTTTGCAATAAATCCTCAGCAAAATTCTGGAAGGGGCCCCAACATTTTGTACTAGTGAGTTCCTGAGTGCCTATATCCGTCTCTGTCGGAGTACCATGAAAAAATAATGTAATCACCAGAAGTGCCCAAGGAAGTTTAATAATAATTCATTTTAGTTTTTGAAAAAAAGGTATCCTGAGTTCATAACTGAATATTAAAAGCCATCAACAGTTCGCTCACACAGCAACGATTACTTTCTTGTATATGTAGAATTAAGAGTAATTGTAATATACACAAACATTTTTAGTGTATCAAAAGAAGTGTAAAATTCAAGTTTATCTATAATTATGTAACATTACAAATAATACAGAAATTCTGTTATATTAGTAATAGGAATAAAAATGCTCAATGATCAATAGATGGTGTATGGATGAAATGTCAACCGAGAAAATAGCCTGAGACAAATTTTGATTCATGTTCGCATTTTGAGAGGATGGCAGAAATCTGGAATTTGACTCAAAAACCTTCTCGATGGATTATACATGATTTGTTTTAAATATTGCTCCAACAACGTATGATACATATTGAAGTACTGTACACTTTTAATTTCTAACCACTGTACATTATGCAAAATCGTTGTTAACTTCTATAGAAACATAATATAAAGTATGCTGTATTAAAAGAATGTAATGAAGCATATTATAAATAAACATTCCATGTTCGCAGGTCGTATTTACTCGGCGCAACATCACCAAATCTCACACACATCCCCGCTGCGCCTCCACATCTCCCTCCCGTCCAAACATCCCTCTTAATTTAAAGGCTCCCACGAAGTCCAAAACCTCGCTGCTGCCTCCACAAGCAGAGGCGACCACGCGGTCACAAGGTCCAGATGCTCCAACAACTCTACCATCTGCGCCGTCTTTAACAACACAGAAACAGGTCACTTCTACAGAAGCTACCCCCGCACCTCGCCTCCAAACATTCGCCCCTTCTCCCACAAGAACCGTTCACAGTATCTCCACAGAGTGCATCAACATCGAGCCACCACGGCCACCACCAACGGAAGCGAAGTCAATTGGAACCAACAAAGCATGCGTGGGCGTGCAAATCAAGATGGAGCCGGGGTCTAGAACGCAAAAGCCTGATGGTATGTTGGAGGAACCCACACACTCTGTCTTTCGTAACACTCGCATAAAAGAATCGGTTGCATGCCAGACCGGAAGCGAGGCGTCTCTCGAGTGTAAAAACGAAAAAACGATAGAAATTAAACCTCGCGATAGTTTTCTCCCAATGAGAAACCAGGACAGAAGTAACAAGGTGTCCGAAGGAACTCAGCCCGACGGTCACGGACTGAATCAGCGGGATAAAATGATCGACGCTCGATCACCTATTCGTCCCAAAACCCAAGAACGACGAAGTGCCGGATCGAACCAAGAGCAAGCTAAACTCGGCGCGAAGAGCCGCGAGAACGTTTCGACGGAGACTCCGAGCCAGAAGAGCGAGGCGGCGGTTCAGTGTCAGGAGAAGGAGCAGCAGCAGGAGGTCAAGACAAGCCAGGAAATACGCGCCGCTCTCAGACAGGTACAAATACAAGTACTACTTCACGCGTGCAATGCTCTGAAAATATTAAGAGGAACGGAATGTTGAGAGGCCTTCAGAGAGGATGTATTATTCGTGCCACTATTGCCATTATTTTATATAGTACAATATTTTACAAGAATAACAAAACGGAAAGTACCTATTGTAATAATTAACCTTGTAACTTGACAATTTTAATTCTAATGAGATAAGAGCCTGTTTATTACATGCCTTAGTGATCTAGACATGGGACTATATGAAGGTAGACCAAAACGAAACGCGATCACTGGGTATATATTACAATTAATTTAACAAGCAAAGTTTGAACTGCTAGAGAATTCAAAATTTTAATTATACATTAGCCAGTCGTGACTTCGCCTGTACATTTTACTAACATTAAATCAGGACTTAAAACTAACTACACTTGCAGATCAACCCGGTCTCTTCGCATTAGCACTCAATTGTTCAATATCACTTTTCATTGCTTCCCTTCATGGTAGGTGCCTCACATGTAAAGCACAGAATAACCTTTCATCCACCCCATTTATCGCATTCTCTCGCACTGCCCTGCACTACACTGTTCTCACCCCGTTTCCGCTTCCGCTTGCATGGCCGGCCAGAAGGAGGGCGGGCGTCGTGCGGAGGCGCTGAAGGCGGCGGTGGCGGAGAAGTACCGCCTGCCGTTCGCGAAGCCGCGCTCGCTCATTCACGCCCGTCCATGGCGGCCAATGCGCGGGTGGGCGCGGGCCGGGGGCGGGGCGGCGGGGTTGCGGCGGGACGGCGACGTCGTCAGTTGGCGGAGCTGCGAGCCGTGGAGCTTTCGGACGCTTTCAGCCGCGCACGCCAGAAGCGAGGCCAGCCCTTCGACGCAGCGACGTCACCGACTGGGAGGTGACCACGCCCTCCCCGCTCCCCTCACGACCCGGCGAAGCCGTGCATCGCGATGACAGCTTTGGAAAACTAGTGGTGCTAAAACACCATGTACTTTCTCGTCTGAACTATCGCGCAAAATTACGCGAAAAGTACTCATTGCTGCGAAAGCTGATTCGTTCTCTTTCGCATTAGAGCAATTAGAAGCAGAAGGAAGGGAATCGGGTAAGAGCGGGTGTCCTAGTAATTTCGCGATCTTTAGCATCTGAAGAAAGCGCAGTAACTGGCCAGAACAACCTTGTTTTCGATGCCTTCTGCGAAGGAAACACGACTCTTCAGGAGGATTGAACGAGTTGCGTTTCGCACATACGCAGTACAGAGATGTTTTTTTAGTTGTCGTTTTACATTTGCTTGGTAGTCGCTGAACAATTGCTGTCCTCTTGACCGGGCTGGACTCGGCTCGAAAAGGTTTAAAACACATGTTGGTCTTATAAATGCCTACACATTTCTTTTAATGTAAACGAAACTGAGGAGAATCCACTTGTTCTTAGGGAAACAATCAGATCGACGCTGAAATATATATTTAATAAAAATTCGTAATTATCGCGGAAGCGCTCTCAATATATGAGCTATTATTTTAACACTAAAATGTGCACTACATTCAAATGATGACGGAGAAAATGTCTTCTTAGGGCTACTTGTACGAACGCAGAAAAAACTCGAGATACATTTTATCACATCATTGTAGCGCTTCAATCGGTTGTATGAACTCGCGATACAGGTTAATTGAGGGATAACAAGGTGCTAAGTTATCCTGTGATCTCACACGTAGTTAACGGGTAGTTATCAGCGTGTTAACCTGTACACCGCATATTGCCAGCCAAGTAATAGGAAAATATGTAGCATACCTTGACTGAAGTGTACGAAATTCTGCAGTACTTGTTTTCTGACAAGCATGAAGAAAAAGAAATACTCCATTTGTACTTAAAATGCTGAGAAGAGTGAGGAGGCAGTCAGGCTTGCTGATTGAATATGACTATTATTTTTTTGCAAGATTTAGATTAATTAAGCAATATTGACGCTTATAAACACTTATAAATGACATTGAACACAATACAAACAGGAAAGGTCACGAAATATTAGTTTTTGTATCAAATATGTTCCATTATTTATACTATTTGGAACCTACTAATTGACAAATGTTCAGCTTTATGCAGTATGAAAAAATTACGTAAAGGTTATGTTAGTCTTACAGGAATCACGTCTGTACCACCTATATGTATTGGTGCTATTGACTGCATCCACATTAAAATACAATGACCAAAAACACTTTCACATATTGCACAAGAGGGGGAGATGGCACATTCTCGTCGAATGTACAAACTGTCCTTAGTGTAGATTGAAAATTCAGGACACTATTGATCTCAGACAGGAGTAGTACTTGAACAAACTATTTTCAATAACTCATCTCAAACCACAATTTTAAACTTTCAGGTCGGCACCGTCAGGTCACCATAAGAGACCGTGTTAAATTTATGGTCTTCTTACTCGAAAACTGTGTGGTGAAATCGATTCAAACTCTACCACAACATAGAAGAAACACTAATATTTCGATAAACGTAATACAGATTTCTTCGACAAACGACAATCGCTAGTTTTGCCAACACACTTTCATTCCGCTTATTTGATAGTTAAGTAAAACCGGTGAACAACTGGTTGCCCTATTTAACCCACTGTTAAGCAATACTTCAGGGTTACAAACCACAGTTTTATTTTTCTTTCGTACAACCGGCCCCTAGTAAAATACAATCCTAATCATTTACATTTCTATGTATGGTCCTCTTAATATTTCATATTCATTTCTTTAATAAAACAGTCTGAAGTGAAATAAAATTAATGCAATTTAGATATTTTCGTGGCAATTTTAATTGCCTACTGAAGGCAATGAGTAGTCTATGTATGTGTTATTTGGGTGCATCTACTATTTCAGAGAAAAATATCCGTAATTTCGTTATTTCATATATTTCGGCCATAGCACATTAAAGGCACCCACAGACCGACGAGGAACATCCGCAGCGTGCGGCGCGGAAAGTTCAGCGCTAGACGTGACGACGAAATTGGCGGGTCCATTCACACCAAAGCTGAGCTGCGAGTCAGCGGTTCTCTCATACGATTAAGTAGAGGCGCTAGCTTCTATTCAAGTGGAGATAGAAAATGCCTTTCTGGTAGTACGTTTCCTGAGCACATTCGGTACGGTACTATTTCCTTCTTTATCGACGATTTTCCCTGAAATTGATCATGAAATACCCCCTTTAAGAATCGAAGAAATATGATCCATGACTTTGACCTAGAAAGGAAAAAGTACAGATAATTCCCTACCCGTATGTCACAAAGGACGAGAAACGCTTTTATATTTACTAAAATGACCAGTGACTGTTTCGATGAAATTTTGAATCTGATAGCAGAATACATAAGACATTCTGAAACTTAACAATCACGAAGCTATCTCACCTTAAGAACGACAATCCATTAGTGAACTTTGTTGAAGTTATTTAAAATTAATTAAATTACAGAACGCGATTATAAGTATTTTTTTTCTAGCCGATCAGTCGTGTCAGATTCACTGGCGAGCTGAAAATATTTGACAGCTGACAAGTCTTTGCCTTGGTTTCCACAGCAAAACTCGAGCAGAAACGGAAACAACGCGTCCGACCGCGAAACAAAATCCGCCGCGAATTAAACGCTGCCAATCCGCAGCCGCACAGATCTGCACGTGCTCATAAGCTAACACGTGACACGAAACTTCCGCTGCGGACATTCCGCATACACTGCGGATATTTCGCGCCGGTCTATGGGAGTGTTAGTACCTCTTTCCTCGCTGAGTCATCTGCTGGCGTCGGCCCAGGACCCGCAGAGCCGTCCGGCGCCCGTGCCGCGACGCCCGCGAGGCCGCGAGGGCGAGTGCCTGACCCTGCGCGACGCGCCCCCCGCCCCGCCCCCTTCCAGCACCGGCGCCGCCCATTGGAAGGACAGCTCCTTCTCCTTCCCAGAGGTGGCCAGCACGGACTGGCCGCCCTGGCCACCCAAGGACAAGGAGCCCGGCGCCGCCGCCAAGGCTCCCGTCAAGGTCAGCACACGATTGCCACCGGTGGGCTAATTCTCATTTGCAGGGCCCTCATGCTGATCCCTCACAGAGGAGGCCAATTCTCGGCGATACTCGTATGTTATCACTAAAGGGGTATGGTAGGCGGAGACCCAAGATTCGTCTAATGATTGGTTGTTAGAGATTCCAAGCACGGCAAATAATAAGGTCATTAGTCCCGTAAGTGTAGCTAATGTTCTGTTTGGAAGATGGGAGTGGTCACCTCTTACAGTTTGGCGAGATCCAGCGTCCACCTACCGTCGGATAGCGGGGTTTTCGCACCTGTGGGGCACCGCCCCAGCCGGGACAAGCTCTAAGCTCCCGACCGGTCTCCCAACATGTGCGTGCATGCCAATATGTGCTAGTGTAGTGCGTGTAAGTAAGAGGTGAGGATAGGACGAGGAACAGGCAGGAAAGATTGCGCGCGGTCCGTGGTCCTTTTGATAGGGTATTGCTTTGACATTCGCATAGTATTGATTAGAGAAACAAGGGAAAATTACCCATCAGCGCAGCCGGCCGCTAGAATTTTCCTCCAGACAGCGAGTGAATTTGATCTAGCTCACAGGATAGCGCCGAAAAGTCTGCCACTTCCGGGACTTGACCCTAGGATATCCAGACAGAGGGACTGCAGTGACATCAGTTGGTGCCCTGAGCCATCTCTCGCGGTCCAGATTCATCTAGGAAGCCCCCAATTGCGTTCCGTTTTCGTCGTGTCTCAGGCTGCGCGCTATCAGGGGAGACTGAAGAGGGACTTCTACCGACAACGGACCTTCTGCAATAGTTCAGCGGCAACATCATTGTCTCTACAGTATCGTTTACCCCGAGGTGCATAACTGGGTCGAATTGAATCACTTACCGGAGGAAAATTATAGTGGCTGAATGCTCTGATCGTTAGTTTTCCTGGCTTCTACAATCAATTAAGCGATTGTCTCAAATTAACTCGTTTATAGGGAGTTGGGTAGTACATTCAGCCCTCGTTCCTCCAGACCAGAAAGCATGCGGTAAATAGTAGCATGCAATAAATGGTATCATGCAACAAACGGTATCATGTGAAATTAACTTGCTATTCTTTCGTTGTTATTTATAATTAAACCTGCACATATGCTCCTAATTGCTTGATTACTAATATTTATATTTGTTCTTTATATAATTTTCATTTGCTCTGTACTGCGCATTCTTATAATTCATACATAATAATTTTAATAACATTCACTTTACTATTTTGTATTATTTGAGGGTATCGACATACGACACACTACAGCTTACCTGATGTGTGCGGAAGGGCCGTCCATACGGACCAGCGTTTTCTGAGAGTTTTGTTAGGTAAGAAATTCTTAGATTGATGGCAACTAAATATGAATTGTCAGTCTTGTTTCAAAAAACAAATATAATATTTATTTCTATTGATAATCATTAACATGGCTTAATGAGCTCATTTACGCTAACAACCGATTCTAATCTGAACCTTCTTCACACAAACCCAGTTTAAATGATGTTACTTCGTGTCTTCGCGCTCATTCAACACTGTGTCAGATGAACTTCGAGTGAAGAAAAATGTCCAATATCCGTGAGGTCTTCTCTCTTAGGTCGCGGCGATAACGAGCCTCATTTTGCCCAGTTAACGCCATATTATAAAATGTCAGTTTCTAACGAAATATATCAATTCGCTTATTGGCTGAATAGTTCGTCGGAAAGCTATCTTAAAACGATGCACGTCCGTGGCACTTTCCCGACTCGCCTCTGTCGGGCGCCTTGCCGCGTCACTCCTACTATCGTATTCATAAATAAATGTTTGACAAAGGAGAAAGTCTTATTTACTGATCTAAATTGCGTTCGCCTAAACATGTTCGTTTCTTTTCAGTCCACAAACTATGTGCTGTTAATGTTATATACTTTATTCTCCAATTATTCTTACGCTAATTATTTGTTAACATTACGCGAGCTTAGTTCCCCCGGTGCAGTGTTATATCTTCCCTGTCGTACCATGACATTATCCACAACGCGTCCCATCCAATGAAAACCCACAACGTACCAGATCCGATGTGAATCCGTTCCTGTATACATTATCACGCCTACTACACTTATATTATTTTCATTCCCTCTCCCGCGTTATTCTTCTGCGACCATTAATTTTTCTCGGGCTTATTCATTTACATTTGTTACTATGGCAACTTGTCCGTTCTGGTTTCATTTTCTCCGTATCCTAAACTAAAACATATTGGTAGGAAATTTGTTCATATATAAATATAAAATATAAATAAATATATAAATAATAAGTTTGTTATACCGTCTTATGAATAAAATTCGGGGATCTCTTGACTTATCGCACATGCAATAAATGGACGTATGCGATAAGTGAGGAGGCTTTTCAGAGGGGTAAGGGTGGTTCCTTCAGGCGGTAATCCTGACGCCAGTCCGATGAATACGTGCGCCTTGAGAGAGTTTGGAAGGTGCACTGCAAAACAACTAAATTCCGGGGCCTCAAACCTCAGCTACCCTGAGCGATGAACGACAGAGCGCAGCACTTAAAATATTCCTACCATCCCAATTTTACTCTTCATTTGGAGGGTGACACACAGTGTTCTTGAGAATTAGTAAATACTTTGGTAGACCAAGGAATTTTATCGGATTAAATTTTATACAGTGTGAAAAACGTAGAAATTTAGTCCGATGAAGGTCCTTAGTCAAATTGTTAAGAAATTTGTTTCGATTTCCAGAGCAAAATCAATCTCTCTGCAGGCATTTGTAGCCCAACCAGTGACATCATATCACTCAGAAGACACGGATCCACCGAAATCTGTGAATTATTTTTTTATAAATTAACAAGGACGCGAATATTGCTATATTTTGATTCAATATACAAGAACATTAACGCTGGTATTTTGAATGCAAATTTTTTGACATTTTATCCATCCTTGAATTTTGGCGACCTGACACACTGGGACTCTAGATCCGTGTATTAACTAATTACCGTCTGATTCCAACGTGTAAATCATCCTTAAGGATGTATCAATAATATATAAAAACTGTATTACAATGCAACTTCTGCGACCTTTCTCAGGGCGTAATGTCCTGGAAGTTCGCAGAATGGCGACCGAAACGTCGGCACCTTCGCCATGGACGCGGCGTCACCCGGACAGCCTAGTAAATACTGACTCCGGCCGCGGAAGTCTACGCTCTCAGATGCCAAGAATAGTAACCCGTGCTAAACTTCTGATATGCAGTTTAAAAGGCAATGCTTAAATCCTAGCCACACCAAGAGTCAGAACTTGAGCTAATTATCTTCTAGGCGGTTTGAAAGGCAACGCTGTGCCACGCAGGGTTGCCAGCTCTTCCCCCACCACTACTAAGGAATTTCCCCAAATAAACTCTCCAGTGAATCGAAATTCCCCAAACTCTGAAACGAAAAATAATTTCCAAATTATGGACTAATGACATCAACTGTCCCGGAAGAATCCATTACATGGCTCTCCCCTTAAATTCAAATCAATCAATCATTTTTCTTTGAGCTACTCTAAGCCCAAAGCTATGTTTCTATCTCTCGTGTTTTTCTTTCTCTGTGCTTGTCGTTTATTTTTCTCTTTCTGATACATAATATGGGCGAGAATAGCGATTATTATTTCTTTTTCATTCACAATAATTAAGAAAATAATATTTCTGTCTCGACTCCGGGTGAAAATAATTTTCCCCAAAAAATCCTCAAACATTTTCCGTCCATTTATTTCCTCACAACGAAATCTATTCCCCATTTTGGGGCCAAAATTCCCCAACCTGGCAAGCCTCGTGCCACGAGTCTCACCCCGAGGTCCCTGTCTGTAGGCGGTGCAAGGGCAGGGGCCGGGCAGGCGCGACGGCGCGCCCGCCGCGTCCGCCTCGAAGCGGCCCGAGATGTTGTCCCTTGGCAAGCGGAGCAGCCGCTCCCCGGGCCGGCAGCTTAGGCGCGACAGCGGATGACACTCGGGGCGAGGGGCGGGTGAGTCTCCGGCCCGGGCGCGGAGCTACGCAGCAGAACTCGATTTGGGGAGGGAAGACAACACGCGAATGTTCCTAGTTAAATACGACTCATATTGTTTGGAAACGTTTGTTACAGTACGTTGTAATTAAAGAACTAAACGTATTGTTATTTTCAAACGAAATTAATCGTAGAGTTACTTAGCATTTTCAACTGTGGAAATGTGACTGCATTGATGTGCTTGTCGAAATAAATACAATTAATTTTATAATTATGTTGCTTGCACGAACTTTGTTAAAATGTAATTTTAATATATACAATGAACGCAATGAATATTTATGTAGATATTGTGTTTTCTTTTTAACGTAAATATGACAGAAGTGTATCATCCGTTTGTTCAACTTAATTTTATGAATTTCTAAGTTCAAGTTGATGTCTGGCGTCTCTTTAAAAGTGTGTTTCTGAGCATTCAACTGTCTAAATTTCCTGCTCGACATAATGCCCATTTCATTTGTGTAATTATATGTCTTTCATAGTTTATTATTAGAGTAACATAGAGTAATATTTTGACTTCCAATTTTGCTACATTAAATTCATGGGCATGACTGGAGTCAAAATGATTCCTATTCGTTTCGCAATTGTTGAACAACTTATGCTGAGAGGAATGATACTTCCTGTCATTTTATCATTTCGCTATTAGGGGAGTGTTCTCGTGAAAACAATTTTTTTTGCTGGGATTCCAGAAAACTCCTCCTCAAAACCTTTTAAGAAATATCTTTACATGCCTAGTTAATATTTGATTGAAATGGCGTATATTTCGTGTTTTCTTGAAGAAAATGATGAATGTGAACAACGCGCGCTAGTTATTATTAACTTAAATTGGACTTCATGTATCTCTGACGAGCATGGCTCCACTTTTAATTTTTTATCACTGTTCCTGTTAATATTCTCATTTGCTTTGGGATATGGCTTGCATTAATTCGTACAATATTTTGCTCTAGCGTTGGTATCTACGCAAAGCCAATCAAACGAGGAAAACTATGACTAACCTGTAACTGCATGC